CCAACTTGAAGACTCTATTCCTACTCCAGTTTATACTTCACTGGATCTAGAAATAATTAAAGATACATCTCGATAAAAATTCAATACAAGCAAACTTGACTTAAGAACTACAAAAACATAAACCTATGAATCAGTTCTTCAATTCTTCAGTTCTTGTTTTCTTGTGTTGGCTACACTTCGGAATCAGAAATCACTCAAATATGAACTCCCTCTATTTGATTGTATTCTGCTTGTAACTCTCTGTTTAAGTGAGCAAGTTTCTTAAAAGAAAATATTACCCTATTTATAAATTTGGACTTGAATCCAAAACCTATTTCAACTTGGACTCCTACTCATACTCGACTTCCTCTTCTGCGTAGAACTTGGAAGCTCACGTGGTATGTTCTTTTTTTCCTACTTCGTGTAGTTTTCCTATTTGATTGAGCTTTGATTTATTTCCTTCTTCAATCTTTATTCACACTACTTCCTTCTTTGTGTATGCTTCCTACTTCACTTAGGATTTCTTTAAGGAAACCTTTTTGCACTGCTTTCTTGTTGAATAAGCAACCCTTCCACCACTTTATAACTTCTAATTCGCGTGGTTGACGTTCTCCTTATCCCAGTCAAATTCGATCTGAAAGGAACAGGTCGTTGCAATCGGTTCCTTTCATCTGTTCCTCTATTTGTCAATTATCAAAATATTTCTCAATCTAATCACTCATTGTAGCTCTTTTTCAATAATTTTGGACTCCATTTGCCTTTTTCTTTTTTCTTTTTATGCACAGAATAAGCATCTTGTCAATATAATTCTCGTAATCTAGCAGTTTGATCATCTGGTCGATACTAATGAAAAATGTTCTAAAAAGAATAGATGAACTTCTCACTGAGAAGTCGTTTAGGAGTTGGTTTGGAGATAAGTTATATATGTATTATATTAAATTTTGTACAAATTGTACTACATTTCATGGTTTGTTAGGAAATGAACATGATGTATAATATACTAATATTTGTATAACTCTAATCAACTACCAAATGAGTTCTTTTTTTTGTGCATGTGGTATGTTATCAAAAATTACTAGTATGAAAACATTAATATATAATCTAGATCAGCATTATGAAAGATGAGATGTGAGTTTGGATCGACACTATGAAAACAAGAGTAAAAATGAAAATTATTGGAAGAAGAAGAGTACATAATCAAGCTGAATAATAGCTATAGATCTTGTTTTCTCTACTTCAACTAAAATGATCATTTTTTTTGTTTTTATATTAAAAAAATCTAAACTTTTAATCAAATAAACATTAAAAAAAAAATGAAAACTTTTTTTAAAAAAAAATATTTCCCCACACCTCTCTCAAGAAAAATGGCCCCACAATTAGTTGCCACGTCACACATACATTGATTCCCGTAAATTGTCCTTTCAAAAATGAGTAATTAATATAATCCAAAATTAACATAAATATAGTAGTATTAAGATATTAATATTTTGTCAGTAATTGTCTCATGTCCACGTAATCTTTGGATAAGCTCCTCCATCTTTACAAACTTGAAGTTACGAATATACCCCTATAATATTTTTGGATATTTAACGTTTACTAGTCATAGTCACATTTTCAACTTCTTACGTGCTCATGAGTAGGACATTTTTTAAAAAATTATTCCCACTTTGGGGATTAACTATTATTATTTTTTTTATTTTTTTATTTTTTTTTATAATGTTTTAAGGATCTCCACTAAGAAAAAAAATAAAAAAATTATCACCGACACTAATTTTGCTGGATCTTCAACATACTCAGAGAATAATATTCAAATTTAGGATAGTTTTTTAAAAAAAAAATACACATAATATTCATAGTCAATAATTATAATTTATAATTATCGATCCCTTCGTGACATCTGATGAAAAAAATAATTATAATTATCGAATTTTTGTTTGAGATTAATAAATATCTAATTATTTGAAAATTAAGTTAACTAAAATTATTTTATTTTATTGTATTTGTATTTATCGATAAACCAATTCAAATTAAAACTCGATTTCATAGTAAATTTTAACTTATTATATACTTTTATATCCCAGAAAAACAAAAAGGTTAAGTGTTAATTAAGTTGACCATATATACCACAGTTACCACTAGTGACATGAAGCAAAAACATTTATCTTAGTATGAAGGTAGGAGAACAGGATTTAACATTTACTATATATATAAGTAAAAAATAATTTTAGTTATGTATAAATATTCAGAAGCAGGCTCTCTGCCTTTACAAGGTGAACAGGATTTAACATTTACTATATATATAAGTAAAAAATAATTTTTGTTATGTATAATTATTCAAAAGCAGGCTCTCTGCCTTTACAAGGTGATGATAAGGTCTATAATATTGTATATTTTACTCTCTTTAGACCTCACTTAATGTGATTTCACTAGTATGTTGTTGTATAAATTGTGTACTCGATCTTACGTGACTTCATCCTTCTAAACCACTAAAAAATATGATGCAACGGACAATACAACTCCTCCCTTATCAAAGTCTTAATTTTGAGTTCTTAAATAAAAAAATCCTTAGTAGAAAATGCTATCCTTGAACGGACCGCGATAATTTAAAAAAGTAAAAGAGGATTCTCCTTCAAATTTACAAATATCTAGATTATTCAATATTATTTCTTTTGTCATTTTGTGAAGAAAGGGCATTTATGTCATTTCGTAAAAGCAAAGAAGAAATGACCATCTCCCTGCAAACTATTTCAACCCCATTTTGATCATCATTTTTCATAACCATTTTCTCATTTCTCACATACCATAAAATCTCTGAAACTTTTCGATCATCCAAGAATGCTTGCAGTTTTTGACAAATCTGTGGCTAAAAGCCCAGAAGCCCTTCAAAGTCCTAACAATGATGGTGCAGTTTCAGCACTGAAAGATGGTTTTTTGGCACAGCATTTCTCCTCTGCCCATTCTGGTTCAGTTACCATCAACCTTGGTTCTTCTGGATTCTTGGCTTATTCATCTGAACGCCAAAACCCTCTACTTCCCAGGTTCTAATTTTCTCAAATCTAAGTTACCCCATTTTTTCATTGATCTGAAATTTTTGTGAATTTTGAAATGATTCTTGTTGTTACATTTTGTTACTGTAGTAGGAAAACAAGATCTTCATTTTGGCATTAAAGTTTTTAGTTGATTGTTTGATTGATTCACAATGTTGACTTTAAATTTCTACCCATTTTCTGGAATCTGCTGTTGTCTAACCCCATTTTCTCTTCTTTTGGGAAAACCTTGATCTGTTTTTTTTTAATGGTCAATAGTTGATTTTTTGTTCTTGTGTTGCTCTGATATCTGCTAGTTATGCATGCTGGATTTGTGATGTGTGTTTTTTTGTAAGTTTTGGTTTGGATCTAACAATGGTGTTTTCTGGGGTTTAGTTTTTAGGAGAGAACCAAGACTTGTTTGTTTGACAGGACAAAAAATTTGTGTTGTTTAATCCTTTTTCATTTTTATTTCATCATCACTGTCATAATCATCATTCAAACTGTTTGGAAATGCTTTATTTAAGCGAGTGTCTGTCAGAAACAACCTCTCTATGTTTATGAGGTAGGGGTAAGGTCTGCGACTCTGTGTACACGCTACCCTCTACGGACTCCGCTTGTGAGATTACATTGGGTATGTTGTTGATGTTGTTATAATCATCATTGAGTTGCTGGTTTAGTATGCTTACTAATTTGTGTAAAGTCTCTTCAGATTATGTCATGTTAGAGGAATCTAGTATTTCGTTTGTAGATTCATTTTCACCATTCTAGACACCATGACCTATAATTTCTAGCTAAGAGTAGGAGCCAAATCAAATAGATTAAAGTCCTTTTTTTGACTTTTGATCTTTAGGAATTTGGATTTATCTACTCTATCCAAAACACATTTTCTAGATACTCCTTAAGCCTCAGAATAATGCCATTCCAGTTGACCATCAAACTTCTTTTTGGTAGTAATGTTATCCAACCAATCTGTATATAAACTTCACAAGTGCGATTTTGAAATTCGTTTAGTGCTGAAGTTGGGATTGTTGTTTCTAGAAGCAGAAGAAAAGCCACAACTAAAGATTGTTGAGGCTGGTGTTGTGCCTCAGGCATATGAATGACTTTGCTTGTACTTCACTGTCTTGGTTCTGTTGTATTGTCAAGTTAGAATAATCGCCTTCATTTTCGGCAGAAACCTCGAGCAGCTTAACTAAACACAATGTGGAAATATTCTAGTCAAGATGCATATTTCCTTGTGCCTTATTTCATTTTTGGGAGACAAGGAAGCGGGAACATTCTTGGGACCTAAAACAGTCTAGCAACTTCGTTTAAGTGTTTTTGCGTGCCATTTGAATTCGTAAAACGGATAAAGTTAATTGGATGATTGCACACTGATATTACTGCTCTGTTCTTGTAGGTTGTTTGCTGTTGTGGATGACATTTTCTGCATGTTTCAAGGCCACATCGAGAATGTAGCACATCTTAAGCAACAGTATGGGTTAAACAAGACTGCAAATGAAGTGATCATTGTTATTGAGGCTTACAGGACTTTGAGGGATAGAGGTCCTTATCCTCCAGATCAGGTTGTGAAGGATATTCATGGAAAGTTTGCATTTGTTCTTTATGATAGCGCTTCAAAGAGTGCCTTTCTAGCTTCTGTAAGTTTTCTTTATCACCCTATCTTGATCTTGACTTATCTTTGATATTCTCGGTCTTGGCTTAAATGTGCAAGTTTTGTTGTTATAGGATGTTGATGGCAGTGTGCCCTTCTTCTGGGGTACCGATTCTGAAGGCCACCTAGTTCTCTCTGATGATGCTGACATTGTGAAGCAAGGCTGTGGGAAATCCTTTGCACCATTTCCCAAAGGTAATGTCAATGAACTTCTAGCTTTGAAGGGAAAGGTCCTGGAACCTAATAAATTGAAAATAGTATTTACTTTTATTTTTCGATAAGTAATCAGTAAGAGAACTTGTATATGGAAAAACAAAGGGGTAGCTCATCTATAGGGTGATTGAAATTGAAAAGCATGCTCTTTGTAGACCAAGCCCCATATTGAAATCGAATGATTTGATGTTTGCCAGATCCACCGAGTCTATTTGTGCAAGTAGTTATCTCTGTATAACTTTTCATTTCCTTTTTTCTGGGTGAAAAAGAGGGTATAGTAGGGAGGGCTAGGTGGGTTCATTTGGCAAGGCTGAGATATGCCTATTCATAATTCAATCAAATGGGATGGGATTTATAAAACTCTGGTTGACACATGGCATGCTACCTCTGTTTTGGTTCTATGTGTCATATGCTTCTCATACTCTTACCACCTTCTCGAAATTGGTTTCTCCCTGTGTTTTATGTTAATTGTTTTGTTTCTTTATGAAGATCCTTGATGTCCATTGGTTTACTGTTAAATCTTTACATAATACTTAATGTCATATTGTCTTGTTTGCTACTTCAGGGTGCTTTTTCACATCTTCTGGTGGCTTGAGGAGTTTTGAGCATCCACGCAATGAGTTGAAACCAGTACCTAGGGTGGACAGCTCGGGTGAGGTGTGTGGTGCAAATTTTAAGGTGGACTCAGAGTCTAAGAAAGTGGATTCAGGCATGCCCAGAGTGGGTAGTGCTGCTAACTGGTCGCAACACTACTAAGCTGACTGCTGTTCTCATCACCATGAAGGCTTCGTTATTAGTTGGCCTTCTATCTGTTATTGCCAACTCGTTCTGCTATCAACTAGTTGATAACTTCTCTATTGCAATGGGTTTTTTTATGGTTTGTAGAGAAATGTTAAAAAGTGAGGAAAGATATTTTATATGACTTTCCAATGCATGTGAATCTCTTTGTGTCGTACACTGAAGTAAGCCATTTTCTTGGCTGGAAGACACTCTAAATAACAGTCTTTGATACAGGGGTTTTGCTCATCTTGTATGCGTATTTGGTGCTTCCATTTTCCTGTTACCCTTGCATTTTCCCATGTTTTCAAATGGCTTTTAGCTAATCTTGGAATGTTACACCTACATGCTGGCAGGCAAATGTTTCTTGCTAATAAGATGTATCGGCAGACAGGTATCAGAAGACAGCTGTGATTAGTGAACACAGATGATTGGATTAAGTATCAGGAATAAAAATTGCATGCTAAAAAGACTGCCAACACAAGCATATTTTTGTTATTGCTATTGCATGTCAACATTTTGTGAAACGTCTGTGATAATACAAGTGAACTAGACTCTTAATATTGTCATTTTCTAAGAGCAAGAAACTAATTATATTAGTGATAACACAGCACCCAATCAAGATAAGTGCAAGAAAACATTGTCTTACAAACTCATTTATGCTAAATTGATATATTTATAGCTCACATTAAAAAGTAAGCGTCAAAATAGTAAAGTAAGCAGCTCTTGTTGCAAGTCCTAGCTGATTTTCAGTCTTTAGCATCAGCAATTCCTCCTGCTGTTATCTGGAAAACGTGTTTTTCGTCAAGGAACTTAAATAACTGAACCATCTAGTTTAACACTGCACTAATCTCGACTCAGTGGAAAGAAGAGATGCAGCAATCACAGATATATAGGGTAGAGTTTCTTCTTGTCTCTGTACATTATAATCACAGTAAGATGAGATAGAAAAACTAATATAACAAGAAAAGGATATCGCTTCAGACTCTGGAAGATTTGGTGCATCGAACACCTTGCAGACACGCTGTTCTCCTTTGCCCTTCCTGAACATTAGTCTTATGGTTGCTGCGTGAGCAAGGACATGACCTCCTGCTGGTTTCTTTGGATCTGATATGAACACACCACCGCCTGGATCAGCTATAACTGCATTCACCAATACAGGTGCTTGTGTTAGCATGGATAGAGTTCCAACGTCAAGAAAGACAATCAATATACAGTAACACAAAAAGAAAGTCTGTTTAGCTGAGTGCCATGCAAAGAGTATTACATAGGAGGTTTTGGAGTCAAATCCATTTACATTGACACTTAGGAAGTAGCAGTGTATATATACACTTGTTTCTGCGTTAACTCTAAACCAATCAACATTTTGTACAACTAAGCAAGGTTGGATTGCATACCTTGATTGGTCATGTAAACAGCAACATTAAATTCCTCAGCTATCTTTATCAATCGGGACAGCATCTGAGCCAACTTTTGCTGGAAATGGCAAGAAGGCGTAAGCATTCAGAAAAAGTGTATCAGAACAGGTGATTGCAGGCTCTTCTTAACACAGATAAATATCAAGAGATAGGAACTAAATAAATCAAATATTATGCTCTGTATTTAGTTATACCTGACGGTCTGCAAGCTCTCCTCTTCCAGTGAAATCCACTCGAAATAAAGCAATCACAGAATCCACAATCTGCAAGTAAAATTTCAGTATCTGAGACAACTGCCATCAGTAATGGTCTTATTCAGGATAAAGTAGATGTTGTGGCTTTCACCAGAAGTCTGAAAGGCTCTTCAGCCATTTTTGCAGCCAGACCAAGAAGCAGGTTGTATTGATGTTCATATGTGTATGCGCGAGCATAAATGATCTGATCGCATAATAAGGAAAGGAAGGATAAGAAAATCAGTACACTAAACAAAGAGCAGTAGATGATTAAATGTGGGTGTAAAAGATACTTTACATTGTCAAGAACTGCTCCAGCGTCCATTCCAAATCTTTCAGCAATGGGCACAACACGATCTGGCCGACTGTAGTACACTAGGTTGAGGAAAAAAGATAAAATGGAAGGGAAGCATTCGCTTGAGTTTCTGCAGCTGCAACTTAATGAAGAGACTAATAGGTGCTTAGTTTGAATTTTCATGCTATATGAGTAGCGAAATATTAGCAAGGATACAATGTTCCCTCAGTGTCAATGTAAGCCACCTTTCCATTCCCTCCTTTCATACTAGTAGGAAGCTGCAATAAATCAGACAAATCAATTGGCAATCTCGTCAAATTCTGGATGATACCACGATTCAGCATAAAGCATACAAAGGATCAGGAGTAATCTACACGATAAAGATGTTTCATTGCTTCTGACTAAGATCAGAGGTAAACCTGAGTAGAGACACAGAGAGTATGAGCAAGTTGTGTCTTTCCAGATCTGAATACATTGTTCATTCAGCAAAGTTAGATGAAATATTCTACTAATGCTTCTACCGCAAGGCTAATACATTAGTTAATTGATTCTTACCGAAATTCCCCAAAAGCTTCAGTTATTGCTGAAGTTTCTATTCCTCCTTCAAAAGTTCACACGAAAAAAGAAAAAAAGAAACAACAAGAATCAGGAGCCTTTTCTGTACAAACAAAAAAGCATTCAGAATTCATCATATAGGAGCAAAAAGTTTACCTCCTAAGAGTTCATCCAATGCCTGGCTTCCAGTTGTGATGCGAACTACTGCCTTCCTCTGTAACAAACATGTAGTTATTTCAGTCTTCTGTTCTTATTTATCTAAGGCACAAATAGGACTTTGCACTTTCTTATGCCACACAAGCAGAAGAATGGAAGTGGACAGCAAGGAAAACAAAAACAGTGATTTTATTCCATACTAATGTGATCCTGTTTAATTATTCAGTGACGTCAATATATTAGTAACGTAAAATGGAATCAGTACAACAAACTCCAGTAAGTTCATGCATAAAACGGAAAGAGAGAAGAAAATGTATACTTTGAGCAGAGCCTCACTCCCAGTAATGTAGCCGAAGTTCTGCAAGGATTACGAAAAGAGACAGTAAGTAGCAGAAAAAACAGATGATGGTATAATCAACAGGAATATGACTATCAGAACATAAATCAATATAAATCATCAACCACTATCTTCTCAGCTGCTTCACAGATCTTTTCAACTTTTGCCTCGGATAACCCTTTGATCCCAGTCAAGTTCTGGAAACAGGAAAAGTTAGATACTTATTAGATGGAGGAGTGACGAATGGAACTATAAAGCAGCACTTAGTGGATAATAACACGAGTTGCTTTTTCCTTTCACCTTCTTTGTGTGCATCATCAAGCCATTGCACGTGTAGATACCAGCGTCTTGCAGCTTCTTCACGTCCCCAGCATTGATTCCATGAGTGATCACTGCATAAATGACCAGTCATTTTAAACAAACTTGCTGATTTGACTTTTAATCCTTAGAGAAGTTCATCAGGATTACAAGAATTTATATTTGTTATTGAAAACAGAGAATGTAGCTTCATCCTTCCAGTTTAAGATCTGTTATGTATTTTACATTCAATTGTAAAGTTCAAGGAGATAGCCATCTATTAAAGACTACTGCATGACATACCTTACATGTAGATATCAGGAGGAGCATAATACTACAAATTTGAGTTTGTACTCTCCTAAAACACAGTTATTGAGATATCCAATACATTCATAACATTCAAAAGGACCGTGATACATATGATCAACAATGAAAACATCATAAACAGAAGAGAAACCCGAAACTGTGCAAATTATGCTACAATGATGAGATCAAAACACACAGACACATTGATGGAAAAATAGGATAAACAGTAAAATAATGAGCATAAAAACAGTTACTAAAATATATGGACATAGTGTAATCAACTGATTTGGAGCCAGAATTGTATGAGTTAACGAAGAGAAATACAGAGAGCAATGAATTTACTAAAATTAAACAAAGTTCCTTGAATCGACTATAAAAGAAGAATTGAAACCGAAACCGTGATAATTCTCCACAAACATAAGATCAATTAACACACGAAAACACAGCTAGCATTGATAGAATATTGGAACAAGTGGCTTGTGCGATGAGGAAAGAGTGATTATACACATAAACGATCTGTACTAAACTATTCCAGAGTAAAACATAATGTATCACAGAAAACCTAATCACATTCAGATCTATCGTAAACTAAAATGAATTCCGAAGCTAAACAAAGTTGCTGTTGATTTTTCTCAGGTGAAATTTACATATCGTACTCCACAACGCAGTGTATTGAGTCAAACTGAAAAAACAGAGCCATATTTTTCATTAAATAACAAGCAAAATCAAGCAGCACTGGATAATGAATATTTGAAGTTAAACAACGATACTGCTGAATTATGAAGAAAAACGAGAATACGTTGTTTACTGACAAAGCTGAAAAATGATAATTATACGAATTTCACGACGGGAAGGAAAATGATATTACGTTTATCAATAGCTTCAAACAAGTCTTCTTCATCGTCGATCTCTTCTCTTTCAACGAGCTGTAACTGATCTTCAGGCCTGAAATCAATCAATCAACACATCAGAATACACACCACAATCAAAACAGAACGATGAGAAAATCGTAAACAGAGAGGTGAAGGAACTGGAGAGTACTTGAATGCAAGCATTTTCAGAGTGATTGAGAGGATAACGGTGATCGGAAATTTGAAATTTTGCTAAAAGGAAATAGAAATGGTGGTGTTTCGCGTGAGTTTGTAAATATGAATCCTCTCGGAGAGTTGTTAAGCCTTATATACACAAGGCGGAACCCGCGAAGTTCTATGGATTTGAATTTATTTTCGTGTTTGGGTTCCGATTGCATGTAGTCACGTACAGTTTACTCTGGTGGAGCCTTTTTCTTAATTTCTTTGAAATTTTAGAGATGTAATTGTTTGTAAATGGAAATCACACATGCTAAGGAACGATATTATTTTAATTTTAACTGTTGAGAAATGCAAGTTATATGCAAAAATGGTTTAATATTTTAAAAAATAGTACTGTAGTAGTAATTTATGGTTAGTTTAACGCTCGGTCTTAATTAGAGCGTGAATAATATAATATGAGAAACTCAATATTAAGTACATTTAGAATATGATCTACAACTGGTACCATATCAAATATCATTTCATGTGCAAATAATTGAAACTTACTTATCTAAGTTTTGCGAGAAAAGACATAAAGTCACTACTGAAGTTATCTCGAATTTTCAAAAAGACATATTAACTTTGCAATCGTCATATTATTCCACTAAACAATTTTGAACAAATATTATTATATCATTTTTCGATCAGCCCCAGATTTTAAGAAGCAAGTGTGTTCACACACCAATCATTACATGACACGTGTTAATTTAATTTTATTTTATTTTATTTTCATTTTAGGTTTTTTCTTTATCTTTTCTTTCTTTCTTTCTCTCTCTCTTTTACTTTTTGACTTATTTTGATTTTGATTTCATCTTAAATTTCACTTCATCTTCCATCTCCCACTTTCAAGTGATCCATCCCTCCATTTTCTTTCTTTTTCTTCACCTCCCGGCTCCCACCCACACTCCACACCCCACCCACCACGTCAAGTTGAACCTTACTCCCATTTTTTTTTTCTTTTTCCTCTTCTTCTCCGGTCAAATTCTTTATAGAATTCATACTATTTTTTAGACTTTATTAAATTATTCATAACAAAATTAATTATTTTTCTAAGAAAATTTAAAATTTTGAAAATATCATCTACTCCTTTTCATATAACATAAAATTTAGAAATGATAATTTTAAAAGAATCAATGCATTTCCCAAAAATTGATAGAACTTAATTGAAATCGGATAAAAAAAACTATATGATACTTCCTAATCATCTTGAAATCTAATGGTTTATCAAATTGTTCGAAATGTAAGAAAAATATTTAGTAAAAGTTTTAAAATTAAAGAGAGTAAAACTAATAGTAGTAAAAAAATGAAGGTGAAGTTGTGGTAAAAATTGTGACATTGAAAGTAAAAAGCTTCAATGGAGATGACAATGGTTTTTTGAAGAAGAAAGAAAGAGAAAAAAAAAAGAAAAAAAAAGTTAAAATAATAAGAAAATATATTTTATAATAAAGTACTTATAAAAATAAAATTATATTTGTTATTTTAGGTTGCTCACTCTCTTTGAGATAGTGCACACCACTCTCTATGTCAGGCGGATGAAAAATGATATAATAATATCTGTTCAAAATTGTTTTGTGGAGGTAATAGGACGATTGCAAAGTTAAGGTATCTTTTTAAAAATCTGGGACAACTTCAGTGTTGTCTATATGTTTTTTTTCAAGTTTTGCTTATGATTTAATGACATTTTATAAAGTTGATATAGATTATGTGTCGAGAGATGGAGATTGGAGGCCCTTTCACACTTAAGCAATACTTCAGGTTTAATTGCTAGGTATATGGAGAAGTTTATATTCTTGGCTCGGAGTAATAAAAAATGATTACATTGATGTATATAACTTAAACTCATAAATAAATATAGAATAAAAAGATGTATGCAAACAAGTGAACAACCAAGGTAGTACTTGTGAAACTACTGAGTTGGGAGAGGAACTGAAAGGTCTTGACGTAGATAATAAAGAGAGAATAACCTCTTGTTCCTATTCCTTATTTTTTCCTTTGGAAATTGGAAACTAAGGACATTTTCAATACTTGCAACTCCTGTGGAAGCAGTTCCAATAGCTCCTTGCACCTATTAATTTGGATTTTGGGAAAGACATCACTTGTGCTGAATCCAAAAATTAGTTAAATCGATTCTCGTAAAGCGAAACATGACAAGTAAAAGTGAACATAGAAAGTAGTGGGGCCACAGATCCACAGGTCTGATTATAAATTTACGTGAACTCAATAATTTTTATTATTATTATTATATATAATAATTTGATGTTGTAAAAACTTATAAATTTAAATTCTAATTGTCATTGTAAAATTGATGAATTCAAATCATAACTTAACATTCTTATATAAAAACTCATAAATTTCAAATCATCTAATGCAACTCTGAAATATAGGTTGAGAAATGACTATGTGATATTATGTGTTAGAGAATGAGGAAACAAGAAAAGTGAAGAAATCATTTCATTCATAGCCCAAAATTTAATTCTGAAAAAGGATGATAATCATTGTCTTTTCTTTCACAAAAAAACCCAAACAGATAAAATAAAGTGATTTTCCCTCTCCTTCTG